GCCATCGGGATTGGATGTTCCCTAGTAATAGAAATCGGTAAATACATGTCCTATAGGTATTTAAAAAACGCAGTATTAATCTATGTACCTCTCAAATACAAACACAGCAATTATTCTGTTAGGTGGATGCTGGTATTAGAATAATGAGAAAGATCCTCATAACCAGCCAACAATACTTTCAAATATTCTAACTTTTTGGTTAGAAGCTGCTGTGACTAACTACAGGCACTGCAATAACAAGTAACAAAAAGGAAGCATCTTACCCGACCTCTGGCAAATTCCCGCTGAACAAAGGCAAGCTTGTAGGTTGATTTATTATCTAACAGGTAACGGGGTGCAAATGTTACCATACATGTATCAATATAACGGCCTCGGCCTTTTTTAACATCAATACCTAGTAATAAAAACAAGTTAAAAATAAAGCTATTATTTACAAGAGAAAACAAAAGACATCTGCCACAATATATTTCACATAACAGAAGTTCTTTTTCTTGGGTTCCTTAGATGCACTGTTTCTGTCATACCACTGCCATACCTTGAAACATTATTTTAAACAGTAAACATAATTTTATGCCATCTGTTATCCTCTGTTTCTCAAGTACAATTTAGAGATCATAAGCAATCAAGATAAACCCCCCCCTATTTCCAATCCCAAGTAAATCAATGCAAGTAATTATTCCACTTTTAAACATACGAAAAATTCCTCAAAAAATCACTGTGGAGTAACTTCCAAAGTGTAATTTAATTAAAAACTAAAAGCTTCTGCGGAAATTGTACTTTACATATACTAGAAGCACAAGGAAGACAGAAGCTGCGCTCCTCCACATCAGCCTACAGAGGCACCACAAAGCAAAACCCACGGAAGCAGCACACGGCCGAATGGTTACAGTATATAGACAGTCAAAATAATCAAAGACAGTAATGCGGTGGGATTTCAAATGTACTTAGAAGTAACATACAGGGGGAATAAAGACACAGAAAGAACAGTTTTTAAATGCAGTTATTAACACTCAATGATGAAATGTAAAAATAGAAATAACTGAAAACTGATTTTTAAGCTAATGAAATTCAAAATAAAGACGTAAAAATACTTAGAATACTATTTTTTTGTTTAATAATTTTCTCTGGACCCTTAAAAACCTTTAACAACATATGTTTCCCTGCTGCCATTGTTTCGTTTCCCATGTCACTGACATCATGTCTTCCCAAGTTCTACAGTATTTCTCAAATGTTCCTATCAGCACATACCAATGTTATAAATGAGGCCTGGCCGGTTTCCATGTTGAATCACTTTAAGGGCTCTGACACCACTACCACCATCCAGGGAGAAACCCTGGCACCAGCCAGGCATACCTTCAGGATGGATTCCTTTTCCAACCCGCATTGTACAACTAAGGGCAAGAAGAAAACACAAAGATTTACTCATTTAAATGAAGGATCAGATATCAACATGATGTTGATGATCAAACACATACCCAAGCTACAAAAAGAACACCTGTGTTTTGACATAAAAGCATTAGAAGCCACGATAAATCTCCTCTTGAGTAATTCATTCTGCATGTCTGCCATAAGCTCTTTTAACATACTGGTCAAGACTCAGTGACCATTTCTTGTAAAAGGCTTGGTAATTTTCAGACCGATTAACCATGACATTTGTGTCTTTTTTCTTTGAAAGAAAAAAGAAAAAAAAATTTTTTTTTTGTGATAAATTTAGCTGTTGTTCATTTGAGCAAAAATACCAGAACACTTCAGATAAATTTACTTTAAATCATGTTCATATTTTCATGGAAAAAGCCATGCCATTTCCTTTCACATCAGAACCACGATAGCTCTGCTGCAAGTGGACTTCCTGCTACTACTTCTCTATTAATATTCAGAGTTTAGAATAGGGGTTTGGAGTGGGTTTATTTAGTGGTAATAAAGTAATTTATACAACTCGGTAAGTCTCTTCATAAAGGTTTTTTATGTTCTTACAAAAGAAGCATGAGTTCAAAACGTGCAAAATAAAACCAAAGCAGCCTGCAGACACAACAGAACTAGCCAACCAAGGAGTTTTCAGTAGGAGATGTCTAAAGATCAAATATGCTTATTTTAGTATTTAGAAACTAGTAACTTAACAGGTCATCTT